CTGTGATGCTAATGGTAAAATAGGTAATGATCTGTGATGCTAATGGTAAAATAGGTAATAATCTGTGCAGTTAATGGTATAACAGGTAATAACCTGTGAAGCTAATGGTATAATAGGCAATAAGTCAGTTATATAGATTGTGCTAAAGACATTATTCGTTACTAGTACTTTGTATTAATTACAAACGTCCATTTTATTCTTTTTAGATACATATTTGTTAAGCACGAAAATCGGTGTATTCCACTTGCTAGATCTGGTAATTTTTAAATATGTAGAAATAAAACATTTTCCGCAGTAATAAACTTTGATTGTGAAAATGATTTCCATAAAAAGAATATTTTTGAATGTACAAACTGTTCGTCATTAAATGTTTTACATGTTTCCCTTTTAAGCCAAATGGATTTGCATGACATAAACTTTGAAAATTTTACTATAAACGACAATGAAAAAACGACACGACCATGTAGACATGCAGTATTAAAGATAATAATTGATTTATTTTATCGCATAGACAATTAGTTTGTTGTAATTAACATAGATACATGAATACATATCTATGCATATATATATATAAATAACGTGTTTATATGCATCTAAAACGAGGATGTGTACAAACAAAATGTATCTATCTGTTAACAAACCGCTGGAGATATTTGGTTATTTGCATTGCGATAAAAACAACATGTATTGACTCGAGGTTTTTTATGATATTGACTGCTAAATAATTGTATCAGCAGTAAGGGGTTGCTAACTAACAAATGGACGTTATTCTCTGTTTTCCGCCACCCATGAATTACATTCAATTAGCTAAAATAGTGACAGCTGTATAGTTATAATTTACACAACTGATATCACAATCAATGTCTGAACAAAAAGAATAATGACCACGAATTAAAAGTAGGCGCAATATGCTGTCACATTAAAATAGATAACAAAATTTAAGTCGAAATATTATCCATATCTGAAAAATATTATCCTACAATGTGTAAGAATTGGGAGGTGTTCGGATTATCGCGGGATTATGATAATCTCGTGCACTGCGAGATACAATGAGATTAGGAAACGTTGACACTTATCTAGTTGTTTGGTTTAATCTAGTTCGTTGACTATTAAGGATACGTATTGACTTTAATTATGACACTTTTCATAAATTAATGAAATCTTATTATAAATCATGATTGACTGTTTATTAGCCAATATCTATTTATTAGATTTATATATAAACTCGCCGATCCGATAAAATTATCAACGTAGTTTAGGGATTTGTTAGATTTTGACAAGCATAGACAGTTGAAGTCAAATTACATGTTTCATATCAACATGTGTAAGTCATATATATGTATGCGATGCAAAATATAATTGGAATACTCTTACTTCATCACAAAAGCATTTTGTTCCAATCATTTTCTAATGCACAGACAACAATTCAATCTACTATATTATACATGTAGAAAACTTAGATCAGAACATATCTTATTCCGAACAAAAAAAAATACAAATTGATAAATGTCTCAGCATAGTCATACAGTGTCGCATTAAAATGACGCACTTGTGAAATCATTTAAATATCATATGTAACAAAATGTTATGAACATTTTACACCAACAATATATGATAATAACAATAACAACAATAATTGTCATAAGATTAGAATAGTTATCGTACAACTGGCGAGTGATAAATACTCAATACGGTACGATGTGATGCAACAATGCAATGCAATACCAATACCAATTCCAGACAAATACCAATTCCAGTACCGTACCGTACCGTACAGTACAGTACAGTACAGTACAGTACAGTACAGTACAGTACAGTACAGTACAGTACAGTACAGTACAGTACAGTACAGTACAGTACAGTAGAATTACCAATACTATGCTCTTTTATTTCATCAAAGTTACATTTGTAACAACAGACATTACAATTATAACATAAATGAATTGTATAGATACAAAAGTACAAAATTTAAGTGACAAAGTTTTACTAGCAAACAAAATATAATGTCCGTATTATGTATTTCATATTTACCAGTTGCAATCCTAAGAAGTTCACTATAGCCCTACAAGTTGCAAACCTCCGCTATCAATACTTGTAAAAATTAAATTTTTTTAGACATGTTAGATTCTATTAAAAAAGTATTATGTTAACTTGTGTTCTTCCAGACAAAAATAGTTTTTAAGGTAATACAAAAATCTAAAATTTATAATATTTGTACTATTGCCAAAAAAAATAAAAGATTTAGTTATTTTTTCTAAGAAACTATAAAAATGTACGTTAAAACATCGAAAGTGTTTAAATTTTGGAATTATGGCCCTTAAAATTAATTTATGTATTTAGTAAGAAGTTCAATGAATTATGCTTTTTAGCCCTTATTTCGCATAAAGGGATGTTTTTTATTTTTCATCCATTTTTATTGATTTTTTCAGAGATATCATGTTTTTATACGAAACTGTTCAGCTGATCAGCCAACTCACACAGTCTTTGGAGAATGCAATGACCGTGCCGCACGTGACAGAGACATATATCTTTTATCTTGTAGAAATTATTGTATTATACACATGTATAATATTCTCAATATAAAGTAATAACTAAATCATTAAGTATATGTTGTTTAGCTTTTCTATCAACTATTTATCTTAAGTTGACGACATATTTTTAGAGTTAATTCCAAAAATGTTCAAATTCAAACTCACTTAAAATCACTTGGCACTGATCAGTCCTAGCGGGAAAAACGAGCGAAAATGGAGGACAGACCAGGTTGTTTTCAAGTATGTAACTTCATTCACTTTTTGACGTGTTAACGTAAAGATAATACAGAATTAACAGTTTATTACCTTTTTACTTGTTTTGAGCAGGTGTTTAAGTTGCGTAGTTTTTTTTTCAATTGCCCTTTTGTCACAGAACATATGAATGTGAAAAGATAAATTTCGCTTCTGTTTTATTGTTTAAACAACGAATTTGATGACTGTACTCGTAGAAATATGAAAGTACAGTCTGTAGTTTATTTCAGAATCATTAGAATGCTTCACTTCTTTATACAAAACTTTCTCCCGATCATGTAATTCGTAAAGGACAGTTTTAAGTTTGGGTAATTTCAATATCAAATACAGTCATGTTCATGTATATGACACTAAGCCGTTCAAAGTATGTGGATGAGATACTTTTTGACCATCATTATCATCATCATTCATCATCATCGTTTATCATTATCATTCATCTCATCCATCATTCCATCATCATCATCATTATATATTATTATCATTTCATCATCATCCATCATTTATTTATTTATTTATTTATTTATTTATTTATTATATTATTTATTTATTTATTTATTCATTCATTTATTTATTTATCATTTACAAATAAGAATTGTGTTGTTGCTGCAGCAGTTCCTGTGGTGTGGTGATTTATCATATTATTATTATTATTATTATTATTATTATTATATTATTATTTATTATTATTATTATTATTATTATTTATTATTATTATTATTATTATTTAAAATAAATATTCCTTTAACTAACATTCGATTGTGTGAGGTATAACGCCCATAACTGATATTTCAGTACAACAGAATATGCGCAATCATTAGAAAAATATACATTTCTTTATTTATGGTATGTTTATTTAAATCTTTCTATAAACTTGTTAAACATCTGCATAATGAGGTCTTCTTTACTTGTCATATCCTAAATTTGTTTACATTACAAACCCTTGTCCTAATTTTTCTGCCGTCAGAATGTACACTTGCTTGTAAAAAGTTAAATGATACTAATTTTTATTTATTTAAAAATCCGTTTTCAAGAGCACTTGAAAATAATGCATTACTAACCATAGTATATAAAGTCTATTTAATCAATATGGTAAATGATTAAAGTTACTACACTTTCAGTACTTAGTTAATTTTGTTGGCAAACACTCGAGGCCTTGACACCCGCGGTAAAGGTTTCAGTTTTCTTACCTCCTGTTAAAGGGATATTCTTTTAAGAAGGTATATAATTGATGCGGTTATTTACTTACATTTTAGCCAAATGTGGCCGACGGTTTTCCAGCTTAGTGTCATTTAATAATCAGTAGATAAGAACGGACAAACTTGTAAAGTTTGGCAAACAAATCGGGTATGTTTTGCTCTTCAAAAAATCGCTTAAATCGAATTATGATTACATTGGCACACGCTGGTTAAGAAAAGTGCCTTTGTTCGACCTTGTTGAAATAAAATATCAATTAATTGTTAGCACCTTCTATGTAACACACTTATGAAATTCTCGCTGCTTTAGCCATTTTCATAGTTTGTATCATCACCTATCGACTTTTCTTTATCAAATTTAGACGGTTGTTCACGAGTCATTTATTCATTTTTGCTCGAAGCTGGCACCGGCCAATCTAGCAGACAATGGCCCTTATTTGCGGAAGATAATTTTCTCTGAATAAAAGCGAGTGGCCATGTCAGAAACAACCCTACACACGCGCTATATTACATTTCAATTGTTAAATTTACTGGTTATCAAAAAGGCTTTGATGACAGAATTTGTCACCAAAAAATTGCCCACTTGAGATAATAGAAGAACGAAATAGTTAATCTGCAGATTCCTGCTAGTATTTGAACGTCGAAGGATAATACGATTGTAAATGAAGCGATGAAAAGTTTACAGGGGGTCGAATAATCTTTATTAGGATTTGTTCATGCGAATTATATGACAATTTACCGTGCTACAAATAATGAGGACGAGTTTTGGCCTCTCATTATAAATTAATAAACTGTAGAAATCACCTATTCAATATCTAAACGGATAGAAAAAGAAGACATCTATTCTAATAATGCAGCGCTAATTTGGTCGCTAAGAGGCTAGGCCCCGCCTCCTGTGAAAAAGGATTACCGGATATCAATAGCAGATCAATGTCCCGCAGTTAATAAATATTTTGTCCATTCAAAAGGCGAATAACGAATGAACAATAGAAATAACCAATGAGAGTCCAGCTTTTATTCTCAAGTGTTTTCGTGCGTTGAATAGACTCAATTTGTGGCAAATTAGTGCTATAATTACCTTAAAAGGTTTACAGAACTGACAGAATTAGTAAATGGAATTTAGCAGTGATAACATCGACACATCATCTTAAAATGTCTTACTCTTAAAAGATTATTATTATTATTTTACATTGAATTTGGAATTAAATATACAACTTTTGGTTGCTGCAATATATCGGTATATTTACATATATTTCGATATATTTATTTATAAGAAGAAAAACACGGACATGGAAAATTCAGAGAATTTTACTGACAAAATGCAAACACCGAAACCTTTGGCTTCTTCTGTAAAATACAGCATCGACAGCATCCTCGGACGGACAGAAAGAAAAGTGACCACGGATTTGCCGGCAATGGTTACATGTAAGTATTACATATAAAGATAATTTATCATAAATCTTAAAAGTTAGGAAACAGCTTTTGGTTTCTTACTTGTAGATAATATTTGAAAATATAAAACTAACTAAAGGAACTGTAGATAACTGAATTTAGTTAAAAATGACAGAAAAAAATAGATAGTTTATGAAAAGGTTAGAATTCTTCAAATGTTTAGATAGATTCCTTTGTATTTTGAGATATACAATTCATATACTATAATCAAACATAATATTTTAAAATTATATATTTGTAAAAAAAAACTGACGAAATATAAAGCTACAAATTAAGTAACGACAAGAAATGAAATTATAACTAATATTTGCAAATATTTTGCATATTAGTAATGAAATTTAAATGGTATACTATACAATGTATACATATACATTTTTGAAATTTAAATGACATACTATACAACGTAAATAGAAGAGAACATAATCTTTATTTATTTATTTAATTATTTTAACAGAACATATAATTTTTTTTGAATTAAGCATATACAGCTCATCTTCATATACAACAAATATATAGATGCGTGAATATGAAAAATGGTAAACGCATATCAATAAATGAAATAAACTATTGAGAGTGTAATACAGCACATTTAATGAAGAAGTACTGGTTACAATAGGTTATATTTTGTAATGACATGTACACGGAACTTATATCAAGTCCTTAAGCGGTATCAGTATTTTAAGTTTCTTGTAGGGAAAGTGGTAATAATTAACTTAAATATTTTATAGATGAATATAAGATTTTCACAAAAAATATAATAGAAACTATATACCAGTACTGGGGCATGTCTTTTCCAAATTATGACAATATGAGCTCATATAAGAAAAGAAGTAATATTTATACAGCAAATGGGCTTAGAAGACACACTGGCAATTTGAAATATAATTGTGCGTCAAAATGAATATAAAATAATGGATGCAATGGCAAATGGCATGTCCTTCAACACATATTGTAAAAAACCTTGTATTTCAGTCTTGTCTGTAATTAAGAATTTCATCAAATATTTGATTACATACCTTAATAAAGAGGTTTGTATCATGTACAAATAATTACTTTAAACTAATTCTTGTATCACTGACACTTTTCTAAATTAAGCATTTCATAACTTTATAACTAAATTGGTAAAATAAAATGATTCTCATTAAAGAACTATATCATTTAGTGTATGCATACATGTATTTTTTAATATTTGGACGTATTTGTCTTTTGACACCACAGATTTTGAAGTACTACCACGCGTGTATGTGTGTATTATTTGTAGAAGAAGAAATATGAATATAATTTATAAAGCACAGAATAGGAAGGAGATCAATTAGTAAAAAAATTGTTTAAAGTTATACAGTCAATTAGGAGAAAAGACGCTATTTTTTTAATTTATTTTTTAAAGGGGAAAAAGAATAAAAGATGGTTGCCTTATTCGCTGATTTTGTAGCTTTTTTAATACTGTAGTTAATGAACTCTTTTTAAACTTATTGATTCAAATATTTACTGTAAATTTTAGCAATATAGTTATAATCTTATTAACAGAATGTTTATTAACGTTAGTGCTTTTCTGAAACAGTGCTGTAAGTCTTTTTTTGACAACTGAATGATGTAATTATAAATAAAAATAAATAAATGTTGATAAACAATATAGAAATGAACACTATATTGACTATGAAGTTATTTTCGATTGTAACCTTGAGTCGTATTCCCGAGTGTAATGTTAAAGGGTGTAATTTTAATGAAAGAATCACTCTGGACGGTAGACATGTATTGTATATATACGTTAATAAAAATTCTGTTTTGTTCTTTAATCATATAGTTTATTCTCTTTTTATTACGGGATATTATTGTCAAGATAAGTTAATTTTGATAGAAAACTTTGATGTAAATTAAGTATAGGTGTAAGTATTTACACAATTAAATTAGTCAAGAACGGCGCAGTCATTCCACCAATTTAATGTAGTAAATGCTTACTAAAAGCACTAACCAATTTAGTGTTTGAAATTATTTTTATATAACTAGACTTATCAAATTTATACGATTTACTAAAGTAATTGTGTTGTGTTTCATTTGAAATACTGCCGTTCTTCTGGACAAAAAATGCAAACACTAATTTCAATTATAAATGGTAAATGAATCAGAGAAAAACGTGATATATTATAATCTAATTACAACACCAACAAGTGCTCGTCACTTGTGATCGAATTTATACCAAGGGAAAATGATGCAACTTCCATAAACGAATGTCAAATAATAATATAAAAAATACTACATTTTTTCAGTCTGAATTGAAAACAGTTGCGTAAAGTTCATCTGTTTAACAAAATGCCATTTAAGATGCGAAAAGCCACGGTGTTAACGTATGAAAACGCAGTCGTGATAGATGATGATTCCATTTTTATATTTAGAACAAACGTTAATTGATGTGTACTTTTCTGTCAGGATTACAATAATTATTATATATCAAGTATCTAGTTATAAATAGTAACTAATTTCTCTTTATTGTAACAAAGTTATATTTGCCAAGTTTTAATGAAGCGTTATACACGAAATATTTATAATGCAAAAGTTAAGTCGTTATACGTATAGATAAATATATTTCATCTTAACAAATCTCGACAGGATCTTTTCCGCTATTTTCACCAGTTGCTCGATCATATAGCAAAACTAGAATTCTGTTAGTGGTAACATTAAATTTTCAGTCCTTAGACATTTTATATAAATAAATCCTGAAGATTCCAGTTGTCACCTTCAAACATATATTTCTTTACCTTTTATATTAGTGTTACCATTAGATTAACAAATTTATATCTTTATATTATAAAATATTATCTGCTTGCTTATACATGATTATTTTATTTTATCTTTTTATATATTGATAATGTAACTCTTCTGACTTATAAAAAGTACATCACTTTAAATATGCTCAATTAATTTTTTTTCCAAAAAGTTATTAGATCTAGTTCTATTACAATTCTGTCGTATTTACCACTTGACCGTAACTATACTGTCATTTTAATCCAAAGTGGATATATTCCGTAATATATTACGGAAACTAGCGGAAAAAAACTAATAAAAAAAAACTGAAAAACTAATCAGTCTCAGGTCAGTTTTGCAAAATAATACTTCATTATGTTATGTTTTATATGAAATAAAAGAAATAAACACAAACAAGTAAACATATATGAAATAAGAGAAATAAACAAATGAAAAATAAATAAATATATATTTATATATTTAAGTACAGTATAATTTAACAGTATGAGTAAAAGATGGTTAAATTATGAAACTATGATTCGTAAGCATATTATAACATAACATATATAATATTTATATGTTATATAACATCATAGCAATTTCAAATCATATATTGTACAAACACATGTAAATAACTTAACCACCAAGTTATAGAACCTACAGCTTAAAGATATTATCACAATATATTGCCCCTTCGATAGCAGTTCATTCTTTTTTTTAAATAATATTATTATTGCTGTCAAGATTTAACTTTATCGGCACTATAAAGGTCAAATGGCGCGTTATTTATTGCCTGATTTATCGTTTATTCCAAACTATCAAGTCAATCTATTATTGAAAAAAAGGATATAAGGATTTTTTTCGTAATATATCGCTACAATCCCGGCCTAATTTTCTCCTTCACTATTTATTTATTTGTTCCACAACGTAATTAGCCAATGATGACAATTGAAAATTCCTTTCATAAATTTGAATACATCTAGATATCGTGAAAATTAAGTTTATGGTGAAACCATTGAAATGCGAGAAAATGTACCTTTTCGCATTTTCTACTTCATTACAAAAATAGGTCCGCCCTAATAATTGAGTTTACTTTGAACATATTGAGCCACGCTATTTTAATGAAAATTATTAACTTCTTTTGGTCTCTTGTAGACGATGTAATCAAAATTCTGTAGAAAATTACATAAATAACTTATTACATAAACCAATAGTGATTCCATTCATACAAAAACTGTATTTTCTAAATCAGACCTAACGTCGCAATTTGAATGCATAAATTCGCTACAATTTCCAAACCAAATAATGATGCACACGACTAAATAATACATAAATTAAAGTTTAATTTCAGAATGAAAATAGGATAAATATACCCTTAATAATGTGACACTGTTCCTTTAATGCGCTGTACTGAAAATATAATAGACTATCTAAAGACAGTAATATTTATCTTTTTATCATTCAAACAAGAGTTTAAATAAGTTTAAAGGATTTCTAATAATATTCTCAAACAAAGCTAGTAGTATTCTGTCTATTATCAAAAGGCCACGTATTTCATATAATGACCATCATAAATTATTTAAAAAGCCATTCAGATAGCTTGAAATTATAAATTGTTAAAATAAACATAATAAATAAACATGTAATTGTGTATGAAATCTTTTCGAGTGCATATCTTTTATACTATTATGCTCATTGAAGGAACGGACGCGAACCGATCTATCAAAGTTAACTTTTTGTGTATTTATATATGGTGCTTAAACATGGCGCGACAGAAAAAAGTTCCCTGGTAGAGATAATTTAACTTCAATTTAACTTACATAAAAATAACGAAAAAAAGCTTGTGATTCAAAAATCAATTCATTAGCACATTTTTACATTTTTGTACATAAAGATTAAGTTATATATAACCAATTTAAATGTTTTATTTTAAAGGTGAGCAGACGAGGTGTATCACGATACCCGGTCCTTCGGCAGATGGCGCCGAGCGATCTCCTGGCATATCTAGAAATGGAGAAAATTATTTCGACTCAAGCCCCGAGAAGTCAGAAAACAGCGAGCAATCTCCAAATTGTTTGGATAATAGCCAAAGCGATTTCAATTCGTCAATGTCAGACCAGGATGACGCTACCGGAAACTCCTCGTCAAAGCCCCGGAAGTTGCGCAGGAGTCGTACAACTTTTACAACATTCCAGTTACATCAACTTGAGAGAGCCTTCGAGAAGACCCAATATCCAGACGTGTTTACAAGGGAAGAACTTGCATTGAGACTTGATCTGAGCGAGGCAAGAGTACAGGTGCGTTACTTTGATATAACATCACAAAAAATCATATGCTTAATGTTTTAAATCAAATCAAGCAAATAATTAAAACGCTCACAATTGACTTAAAAGCTTCTTAAATACAAGTTAAGGCTGTAAATGTTATAGTCAGAAAACAAATCTCAGCTGGAATATACATGTACATTAAACCTTGATGGTATCATTTGTTGTTGTTGTTAGATTTTTAGCTTATTTATCTAAATTATTATAACACGGCAACATAATTTATCAATTTGTGAAAAAGTTTTCCTGAAATGGCTCAGCCGCGAGAAGACTAACGTTTTTACACAGACATAATTCTACCCGACTTTAACACGGACTGGTTCTTTAATAACTTGTTGTGTAATCTGTTATAATTGATAAAAGGATTGTACTGAGAGTCCTATTGAATTAGCAGTCGTAATTTAATGACAATTCACGGCAATAGCTAGTCATGAATCTGTGTAATTGGCCACCCGCTGAAACTGGTTAAGCTATTTGTAGGGAGTTCTGTAACATGTGTGAAATGACGGCTTCGTTTAATATAGACACCTAAAGAATGTAGTGCTAACAATTAGTCTTTAAAGTCACGCAGCTTTTATATATGGTGGTCATATATACTGTAAATTCAGCGTTGGGGAAACACTGAACACAAAATAATTTCAAACGTGTTTATTTATACATTAAAGACTAATTCTAATAGAAACTTCTTTCAGACAAAAAAATTACCAAAAGTATCATACACACAGCTCATCTTCCATAACTTAATTGAATAAGACAACTGGTGACAAATTAATCAATGATGCACAAACCTGTCTTCTCTTTTTACACCCAGAAATAAACTTTGTTGGAAACTCACGTCGAGTAGTATATGATCAACAACAGTGTTTAAATCAATACCTGATGCTTTGTTAAATACATCTGATTTATTCATTATTGCACTTTTATATGCTGATTTAAGCCTTTTTTATTTAACACTAAAAGTATAATTGTTTATATAAGACACACTATACCGGGTATTGTATTGGGGAATTTTTTAAAAACTGTTTTTTTTTCTTATTTAGGTATGGTTTCAAAATAGACGTGCAAAATGGCGTAAAAGAGAAAAGGTTTTAGGCAGAGAAAGTCCTAATTTTCTCCACGGTGAACCAGGAATGGGTTTATCCGACTTACCTCATGGATCTCAGCACATGCCAGCCTTTCCTTCTTCTCCTATGGAAGCATTTTGGTCAAACCGAGGACAACATCTTGCAGGTTTGAATCCCATGATGTTGCTTCCACATGGTCCGTCAGCACTTTCCAATATAGCAGCACAATATATGCAGGGGAAAATAAACTTTGGCGGTTTATTTCCTAATTATATGATGAGTGGTGGAGCTCCAGTTCCGGCTGGGTTTCCAGGAGTTTTCATGCGTCCAGGTATCCACGACGTAGCCTCAGCACATGCGGCTGCAGCCGCTAGCCTCAGCCAACACATCAATGGAAGATTTCACTCCCCTGAGCCCGAACAAGGTTTAGATTTTAGGCGATCGAGCATAGACAAGCTGCGTCTAAAGGCACAGGAACACTCCACAGGAATTGACAGAGCAAGTCCAGGTTCTCCCGACATCAAAATTGAAAACATGCCATCAAATCGCCCAAGATCATAAAGTTGTTACACTTGGTTTTCATAAAACGAACGAACTTTTTACAACTTGGTGGCTCGATTTTATAGTGTTTCTTCTTTTACTTCAGAATTTTTAGTATTCGTTTTAAGAGTTAATTTTAAACAAGTTAAGTCTCATTTAGAAAGTGTTTGATTAAGATAGTTCACTGCGTTAATGACAATGAGCCCTGGAACACAAAATTGTGTAAAATGGTACGTATACAAGTGTACATTGCTATTGTTTTATTTCATATTGTGAAAAAAAGAAAGTTGTACATTGGTTTTCTTGTGGAGGCTTTTTGAAGAAACTAAATCAAAATGTTCAAAGTGACAGTTATTCGCATTTATTAATTATTGCAGCATGAATTTTGTAGTGCATTTGTTATTTGTTTATTTTGTTATATATTGTTTTGTTGAAAATTGGTGCTATAGTTTCGTGAAATAAATTATTGAAAATCAATTCAACAGTTGTGTCATGGTAACAATTTGTTATAGGCTATACAGTTACGTTTATGTAATCTTGCGATAGTTGAGTATCTAAAGCTGTCCTCACGTTATCTATATGTATTAAACAACACAAATTGTTTACCTTATGTAGAATGCATTATGAAAGTAAAGCCAAAATATAATTCTACATAAACTTGATCTAGATCAGCAGAATGTTAAGAGTAGATAGCATGCATTTGGATGACATTGTTATTTTGTGAAAAAATCTCAATTATGATATAGAATTAGGGCTTTCGTTGAATAATTGATTTATCCAAGATAAAAAATATAACAATCTTTACTTTTCTTTTTATACGCCCGACAAAAATGGCGTATATTGTTATGCACCTGGCTGTCCGTCCGTCCTACCGCCTGTGACCAGTTTCGTGTCGGCTCTGTATCTTTTCAACCAGTGTAAGGAAATTTAAACTACTTAGCAGAAATGTTTACCATGAGACGATGTACTGAGCACAGGTTTGACCTTCATCAGGTCAAGGTCAAGATCAAAGTCATAATGTATTAATTTTCTTTATCTTTTAAATTGATAGAAGCTATATGACAGAAATACTAATATTACTGAGACGATGTTCAATCCGAAAGTTTGGGCTTCCTCGGGCCAATGTCAAGGTCACACTCAATGAAATAATAATGATAATACTTTATTATGGGTTTTTTCATGAATTTTTTTTCTTAAGATTTTTTCTGTTAAGATTATAATTAATGAGAAGGGAAATATAGATGCATTTTGAAAATATTTATTAAAATGTTACGACAAAACCAACATAGTGGGTTTGCGACCGCATCCGCACAGTCTGATCAGGATCCATGCTGTTCGCTATCAGTTTCTCTACTTGTTATAGGGTTTGTAAGCGAACAGCATGGATCCTGATCAGACGGCGCGGATGCGCAGGCTGGTCTGGATCCATGCTGGTCGCAAACGCACTATGTTGGTTTTGTCGTGACGCGGCTCATATTTTAAGGATAAGTTCGGATTGGAGTGCCTACAGTTGTAAGTTATGAGAAGGCTACACCAATTTAGCCTTTTTGTGTGCAGTTTTCCTCTAATTAAAATACTGATCTGGATTGATGGGCTGATATATAGTTGCTGTATCTGATATATTACCATAACAAAGATGATCAAAAGGAATTACCAATATGATAAGTTGCAGAAAGTTTATCCCATGACTACTTCAGCTTTTCTGAATGGCTGAGTTTTAAAAGCCCCCTCAAAGGGGGAGGGGGGGGGGGTAATAAGAACTCAAAATAGTAAATATAACAAAAATCGACTTAAATATGTATTAAGTATCATTCAGTGAATCAATAAATTTAAAATTAATATGTTAACTTTAAAAAAAAAAAAAAATATGTTTATATATAGATTATGTTTTGCACTGATGAAGGCATATAGCCGAAACGTTTGCAATTAAATTAAATTACTAAATGATCGTGTTTGTGTGGCTTGTCTGATTATGTTAACTTTTGGCAGATGCAACCTTAAAGGGCATAAATAGTGGCTTGCCCGGGGTCCGTACTCTAATGCGTGACGAGGGGATAGACCCTCAATAAGTCATTTATACATACATACATACATACATACATACATACATACATACATACATACATACATACATACATACATACATACATACATACATACATACATACATACATACATACATACATACATACATACATACATACATACATACATACAGACATACAGACACACGCACGCACGCACGCACGCACGCACGCACACACGCACACACGCACACACACACACACACACACACACACACACATACATACATACATACAGACAGACAGACAGACAGACAGACAGACAGACATTCATACATACATACAACATACATACAGACATGTGTGCACGCTCACACGCTCGCACGTACGCACACACACACACACACACAAACACACCGGGCTGGCCAAGTAAACTTCCAAATTAGTATTTTTGATAAAACTTTCAATCGAGGGCCCCTGTATGAGTGCTTAAACACTTTGCATGCTAAAGAACCAGGAGAGGCTTCTGGAATTGGGACATCTTTCTGTACCTGTACCATACACTTTTGTCCAAAATCTGAAATGACTATAATACTTTTCTGAAGGACTCGTTCATATGGGCAACCTGTAGCGAGTATAAATAAACTCAAATACATACATATGTAACATCCGAAATTAATCTCTACGCATATATATAAGTGCCTTTTAGTTTTCTTGTTACAAAACATAGTTACTTGGCATGTACAATATACATGTAGATATCAACAGAAGTTTGATAAAATAATCATGCGCTTATGGTTTAAAATAAATCATGTTTTGGGCAAGTGGAGTAAATGGGTGTCTTCTTTAATTTACAGATTATTTTTGATTACTTTAAAATTTTGATTCCTTAAAACAAATTTGCATTCGGGCGTATATTGTCCCGCCTGTGCGGTGCTCTTGTATTACAAATGTACTTCATATTTTGAAGGAATTTGGGATTTTATTTGTAATAAGTTTGCTATTACAAGTCCTTTGAAATAAGTAAAGTGCAATCTTTGATCCGGCAATAGATTTTTAATTCCTGGTAAGAGCATGAATTTTGTGGTGCATTTTCTATTTGTGTTTGCTGTTTTATATTGTTTTGTTGACAATTGGTAAATGGTACTAGTTTTATCAGAAAAAAAGTTGTTAATAAACACTTCAACTGAATTGTTTTACATAAGTTGGTTGGTAACAATTTAATATGGAATAATTACATCAAAATTTAGTATCCAATAATTCTGTACTACGTGAACTTCACAACATTTGTAGCAGACTCTGTAATTGCTGAACAGCCAATAATTTTGAAGTAGTTGAACTGAAGTAGTTGAACACTAGAGAGTAGTTATCACATTATCTATATAAATTACATAAACTGTTGCTCTTATGCAAAAAATCTGTATAAAAATAAAGCGGAATATAGTTTTACATATCATTTCTTCCATCAATAGCAGACAAACATATCATTATTCTGTTATATATTGTTTTGTTGACAATTGGTAATTGGTTTAAGTTTCGTCAAAAATAAAAAATTGAAAAATCCATTAAACTGTAAAGGCGTTGATTTTTTTAATTCAGTTCGTCACAATTTTGTTACCGTTTGTATTTTTAATTAGGTTACTAGTCATTACGAAATGATTTACTAAGGTCAAGAGGTTATCAGTTGAAGAAAACCTTCCCGTGCATTTCCCGTGCATTATCGTTAATAAGTAACTACATTTACGTAATCTCATACGAAATTAAGTTCCCTTGTGTCATCATCACATTATCTAATAGATTTAACAACATAAAGTGATGTCCTAATGTGGACCACTATATGGATAACTTTACATATCTTTTTTTCTCTCTCTCTCTCTATAACAGAATAACAACGGACATTTTTGTATTGGTTTTACTGAAAAAAATATAACTGTTTCCTCTGCTATTGAACACTTAAATACTTGCATGTTCCCGATTTAAAGCATTCATCAAAAGCGTCGTTGAATCTGTGACTAGTTTCCAATTCTGCAATCCAAAATACATCTTTATTCCTTTTAAATAAGGATTTTAAATACAATAATGTTAGCTAGGTTAAACATGATTTAAACAACAAACAAATCCATGACAAAATTCCACAAATTCTTTATTTTACTCTATAAGAGGATTAGTTTTTCTTGACTAAACAAAAGAAGGTTCTGTGACAATATTACAAATGCTCTTGACACCAGTTTTCGCGACTGTCAGGATTTAGGACAGACTGAAGTCAATGAGAACCTACAGCAACCTAAGACAATCTTGAAAAAGAGGTAGTACCCTAGCACACTTTCCTCGTCGTCCCTGCCTACACTGTATGCCAACTATCCTCGTCGTCCCTGCCAACTGTATGCCAACTATCCTCGTCGTCCCTGCCTAAACTGTATGCCAACTCGCCTCGTCGCCTAAACTGTATGCCAACTCGCCTCGTCGTCCCTGCCTAAACTGTATACCAACTCCCCTCGGTTTTAATCAGGACATCGGAGGCTGAGTCTGGAGTTGTGATAGAACCTTAAAAATCCCAGCGACGAAGGCGTAGTTTGGTTTCCAAGACCTACCCTATATGTACAGCAGCAACCCTCGGATCTAAACCAGTGAACGTGTCGTTGGTGAAAAAAGTCAGCCAAGCTCGAAATCTGGCGATGTCCTGTGCCTTCTCTGCGACCTGCACGGACCGAGGGAAAGAGAGAAGAAACTCAAGGAAATATGTCAGGGCTACTTATATAGACTAACAAATAGCCAGGACTGTCACAATTGACAATCATAACATTCAACGTGTCCTGGAATCCTCGTAGGAAAGACCTTTTCAGACGAAGTCTATCTTTTATCAGTTTGTCTTACTGTAAACTTAACAGATAGGGAGAATTTTCATTGATCATTTTGAAATTACAAACTGAAATCGGTGAATGTCATTGGTCATTCTAAAATGAAATGTTAAGGACAGAGTTCTAACCATTTTAGAATAAAATTTAAAGGACAGTTCTAACCGTTTTAAAATAAAATGTAAAGGATAGTTCTTACTTTTCTAACAGTTCTAAGACAAAATGTAAGAGAAAGTTTTGCCACTATAAAATGAAATGTAAAGGATAGTACTAAAGTAAGATGTGCAGGAATGAGGATAGCTCTTTAACTTTTAGGTTAATTTGTAAATGATTACAAAAGTCAAACGTAAAACAAGTAATAGGGACATCTTAAATAGAATTTGTCTTACTTTGATATCATCAATATCAGTATGCTATAATTTAATTTAAATGTTTACAAAATGGGAAGATCAATTTTCTTTGCTACAAGAAATAATTATAATGTCATTGTTATGCAAGCATTGCTAACATTTTTTTATATTAAAAACTCATAATAATAACATAACTTTGCATGTTAACCAGTATTACTTCGGCCGAGTATCTTTTTGAAAGATAATTCTTGTTTTTTAATGGTAGCCAAATGCCAGGAATAATTCAGTATAAGTAAATTAACAAAGCTAACAAATAAAAAAATAAGTGCAATTACCACTTGAATTACATACTTAAATTATTGAACTGGACCAACAATA